CTACCTGACAGTGGACTCAAGATGAGGAATGAAACATAGGTTTTTGGACATGGCTATGTGGGAATTATTTGGCTTGATTATGTTTGTTACAAGGCGTTTGTTTTTCTTTGTATTTTTCAGTTAGTTGTTTGTGGGAGGGAGAAGAAATAAAATGACTGTTAAATTAAGTAAAATTACATGTAGGGTAAGAGGAAAAAAAGTTGTGTTGAAGTGAGGTAGGTGAAAGCTTAATTTGACACTTGAATCTAAGGGTAAAGAGCCTACCTTTCAATAAGAGTAGACACTAAATAAAAGTTGGCTTTGCTTTTATAGTAAATTAGGGGTCACTACCACTGTCTCTTTAATTTCTGTGGGTTTTTTCCTTTCCCCAAAGTTTCCCTGGACTATTTCTCCCCATTTCTCCTAATCTATCTCCTCAGCTTTCCTATGTATATTCCAAACATCTCATTTTACAGTTTAGAAAACTGAGGAGTCATCATCCTTATGCTAAGCAGTAGTCTACTTTGCTTTCTTTGTTAACTCCTTGATTACCTATATCTGCTTTATCCCTTTACTTCAGGGTCCAAGCCAGATATTTTTTCAAATCATTGAGATTTCATTATGTGAATTCAGTCCAAAACACCAGTATGAATTGTAGCAGCCTTCTTGTTTTTATTCAAATTACTCTTTGATGAAAATAAAAACACCTCCCCAGAGAATATCAAAACAGCTTTTTAAAAAGTAGTTTATTAAAAGCAGTCAAATGAGGTGATTCCTTTTGAAATTTAAACCTCCACATTAAAACACAGCTATTATTTTACATCCAGTTGTCAAATATAGCACTTTTACTCTCTTAGGTGTCAATTCTTTTAGCTTCTCCATTTGAGTCAAGAGTGATCCTATGCTATACTTACTGACAAAAACCCCCAAATACTGTCTCAACATACTGGAAGATTTTAGGGCCAGAATGGACCACAGAGACTTGTCTAGTCCAGTCTTGGTATTTTAAAGTGAAGAAACTGGGACCTAGAGAGGTTAAATGATTTGACTAATACATCACATGGGTAAAAAGTATTAAGAAAGGATTTTATACCCAAGTCCTCTGACTTGAAAGCCAATCTTTTTCTTTTCTACCATATCATATAGGTTACACTTTGCCTTGAACTTTTGCCTTCAAATCATTAAAGCAAAATGTAATATACTTTGTACACTGTAACAATAGTTTCCATTTTAATGAAGTTTGAATATACTCTAACAATTGTCATGCCCCATGAAATTTGTTGAAAATGGAATTCTTTTTATGTGCCTACAATGACAAATGACCTTAGCCTTTTCATATTAACATCTTATCTTAGATTTTCTTTTTTTATTTCCCAGTAAATTGAACTTATGAAAATTCATGAGATTTGTTTGTTCTCTTAAGAGCTAAACATTTCCTTTTGTTTTAACAACAGAACTTTCCTTATGAGATTCTAAGAACTAATACTGACTATAGTCATACCTTCCACATTGCAACTTTCCCCATTGCAGTTTTGATATATCTCAGGGTGGCATAAGAAATTAAATGAGAATCTTTTTGGAGTTTTGTGGAAGCTACAGACAATACACGAAGGCCAGCAGATAACACAGAAAAAGTTTAGAAACTCAGAAATCCATAAAATATATGTATAGTATTGTATAATATCACCCCAAATTTTGCAACAAAGTACTGCAAACACTTCATAAAAGGAAAAGAAAAAATTCATATTTCTTCTCTGATGTAAAGGAAGGGCCAAAAAATTTTAGTCAGATTTTCCAGATCACAGGGGCATCATGCCCCTGACCCCAACGACATGGAAGGGATAACTGTAGTCTTTTAACCATAAAACACTTCCAGGCACTGGGGATTCAAGTAAAAATAAAAAGCAGTCCTTTCCTTTTTGAGTATCTTACATTCTACTTGGAAATTCGTGTGTGTGTGTGTGTGTGTGTGTGGTGTGTGTGTGTGTGTACACATCCATCTGTCTTTTGAGAAGTTGGCACCTGAGCTCAGCCTTGCCGGAATCTATGGAATGAGAATTCTGAGGGGCCAGTGAAGAGTCAGTTTAAAACCTATCTAAAACCTTGGATCATAAGAAAATGATGTACAAGGTCACAAACTTGACTGCTGCGCTACCCCCTTGAGTTGTGAAATCAGCTGAAACATTTTTAAGATTCTACCAAAATAAATATAACATCTTCAACTGATTTTTATGAACCAAAAAACAGGGTTGTGTTCATGTTATGCTTGAGAAGAGATACTTGAGAAGTCTAGCTTTTGCCAGTCTTAGTTTGCTGGGAGTTTCAGTAGTACCATGAATTCAAAAAACAAAAACAAAGCCTAGTTTCAATATTGAACTAATGGACAAAATTAAAAAAAGACAAGATCATAAGAGCATATTCTTCTTACCCTTCATCTAAAGTGAATTATTAAGGTATTTCTAATGGCCTAAGAATAAATTCTAGTAAAGGTAGAAATTTGCAAAAAAAAAAAGAAACTGTTTTGGAAAGTAACTTGACCTTACTGAGCCAATGAGGTTTAAAATTAACTTAAATGTAAAACAAAAATGATATTTTAGGAATTAATGTTTCCTGTTACCTCGAGCCTAAAACTCCATGTTTTTTGTGCTGCTGTGGCAACAAGAATATGGGAACTCAGGACTACCAATAACTTGGAGTTCTGCCATCACATAAGAATTTACAGGCACTTTTATAGTAATGTGAGGGGGTGTGTGTGTGGCATTAGCTGCCCCTCAGTACTTTGAAACCTGAACTGTAGCCTACTTTTTTTTCCTTCCGCATCTTGTAACCTTTTTTTTTTTAAAGATACATTGTATTGGTACTTTTTGCTTTAACATTATGGTGATTTATCCCTCTTCAAGATAAAGCCTTTGTGATAAAGAAAAACAAATAAAAACATCTAGTTATCTCCTGCTTTTCTTCAGTGAGTGAGGGAGTTTGTTTATTTGTTCAGTGAAACCTCCATTGATTGGATTTTCAGTTACTCAGAGTTTGACTTCTTTTTAGTGATCCTTTCATTTATGTTGTGGTTGTCAATGTATATATTATTTTCTTGGCCCTACTTATTTGCCTTGCATCAGGTCATTTAAATCTTTATTTCTCTGAATTTCTCATATTTGTCATATTTATCCTTTTTTTAAAAAACACTGTTTTTTACTTTTAAAAAAAATTTTGAGTTCCAAATTCTCCCTTCCTCCTTTCCTCTCTCCCCTCAATGATAAGGCAAACAAATGATATCAGTTATATGTGAAGTAACATAAAACATTTCTATATTAGCCATGTTGCTGTTGCAAAAGAAAACAACAAAAAAAGACAGTAACAAAATGTGCTTCAGTCTGAATCCCAAAGAGATCAAAGAAAAGGGTAAATGACCTATTTGTACAAAAATATTTATAGCAGCTATTTATATTTGCTGCTACTTATAGCAGCAAAGAACTGGAGATTGAGGGGCTCTCCATCAACTGGTGAATGGATGAACAAGTTGTGGTTATACGATTGTAATAGAATACTGTTGTGCTATAAGACATGATGAGCAAGATGGTTTCAGAAGTGGGAAGACTTATGAACTATTGCAAAGTGAAATGAGCAGAACCAGGAGAACATTGTATACAGTAACAACAATCTATTCTGATCACGATAGTGATCAATAAAATTCCAAAGGACCCATGATGAAAAATGCTGTCCACCTTCAGAGAGAGAACCACTGAATTCTGAATGCAGAAGCACGTTTTGTTACTGTCTTTATTTTTGTTTTATTTTATGTTTTCTTTTGCAACAGCAACATGGCTAATATAGAAATGTTTTTATGTCATATAATTGTAAACCTTAAAGCATTATATAATTGTAATGGCAAGATAAGACATATACTGTATGTACATATATATATATATATATATTATATAATATATACCTTCATATATACATACATACATATGCATACACACACATACAGAAGTAGAATGTGCTAAGTGCTCGTGAGAGGTACAAAGTGCTTTTAGAATTCTAACTGGGGAAATTGTGGAGGTGTGTAGGAGCAGGCTATGAATTATGATTAGTGACTGCTGCTTACTGACTTCAGAGCCTGCCAAGGTGGTTATGAAAATTAAGTCTCCTTGTTGTTGTTGTTTCTTTTTAACCAATTTTTTTCTAACTCCTTTGAAGTATACAAAATTAAAAAACACAATATATTTTGCTTGATTAAAGAAGAGTAGCTCACTCACCCTTGCCAGCAATGAATGGCAAAAAGAAAAAGAGGGTATCATTCAGGAGGCAACATCTTTGCTCAGTTATGGACCCTGGGCAAAGAAATCTCCAAAAATTGAAATTAATACCTTATCTCCTTCTGCATACCTAATACATGTTATGAAAAACTTAAAAAGTGCTTCCGATCTTTATTTCAGTTTTTCTTCTCATGAAGAAGTCAGTGATTTTATTCTATAAAGACTTTATTTTTTTCCTTTATTATAAAATGTAGTGCTATACTTTTATTCTCTTTGAAGAAATGAAGATATCAATTGTAATGTATGCAATGTCCAGCAGTTCTAGTATCTAGATAGTAAAAATATTTAATTTGATGAAAATATCTCTCACATGGTTTGATGCAAGTGTGTGTCATAACAGACATTTCTGGTGCTAAATAAGGCATAACTAATCTTATTAGTCATATCTATCTTGCTACTTTGAAACATGGTCATAGATATTTTCTGATCAGCAAATTACTGTGGAAGTAATCTAATCAGATTAAAATAAATTAAGTGACTTGAACAAGGCTCTTTGGTGGCCTAGCTGAGACTAGAATTTGGGTTTTCTGACTTACAGCCTAATCTTCTTACCATACTACCTGTTATTTTTAAATGATCCATCTGAGTAACATAACTCACACTTGGACAGTGATCAAAGAGTAGAGTATACAAATTAGTTTGAAGGTGAGATTAGAGAGATTGAATGTATGTTAACAAAATATTGATTTTAATGTCTTTCAGAGCCATGATGTCATTGAAGGGGATATACTTTATGGTTTCACTCTTTTTGGGAAGCTTTTTTGGAAGTATTTTCATGTTGGGTCCTTTTATACCTTTGATGTTTATAACACCATCCTGGTATCGCTGGATCAACAATCGCCTTGTAGCAACCTGGCTCACACTTCCAGTGGTAAGTTAAACATCAGAAAAGGAGATTGAAATGATTAACATTTCAAATATTAAGTTTAAGAGTTCTGATTTTATCATGGATAGAGCTCTGGCCTTAGAGTTGGGAGGACATGAGTTCAAATCCAGTCTCAGACATATGACACTTACTAGCTGTGTGACCCTGGGCAAGTCACTTAACCCCATTGCCTTACCAAAAAAAAAAAGCAAAAAAAAAGTTCTGGTTTTAGTTGCATGAATAATTTTTAAAGATAAAGTTTATAGTATGATAAACTTACATTATGAGAAGAAGCATGGTATAGTAGATAGAGAGTCTGCCTTAAAGCTGGAAGACCTGGGTTCATCTCCTCCCTCTGACACATGTGGGGTGTTTAACCTTGGGGCAGGTCAGTTAACTTTCCAGTGTTCTAGGCCAGTGGTTTCAAACTCAAATAGAAATGGGGACCACCAAGCTGTACCTAAGGATTGCTGGGGCCACATACTGACTTAGAAAACCAAATATTAACATTATCTGTTTCATTATATTTTTATTTTGTTAAATATTTCCCAATTACATTTTAACCTGGTTCTGGGTTGTCCTGGGAAGTGTTGCTGCCTTACTGCCTGTGTTTGACATCTCTATTCTAGGCAAGCCTCTGTAAAATTACAAGTTGCAGAAAAGGTACTGACCTGAATAAGTGCGGAAAGTTTTCCCAATGGGAGTTACATACACAAGTGGAAACACAGGCCCAACCCCCTATTCCTTTGAAAAGCAAGTTGAAATTTTTATTTGAAGGGAAGTTCATGTGTGTGTATCATTCGGGCATGGAATATGGTCTTCTAGTTTGAGAAATGTGATTAGACTATATTCTCACATTCCATGGCCTCATTTATTTTGCAGCATGAAAAGTGGAGAAACTAAAAACAAGATGCTGTCACAGATGTTAACAAGAGATGGCATCAGTTTACTAGTCTTGGAGTGAATTAAAATAATTAAACTACATAGTCATTTACTTACATTTACTTTATATGAGTCATGTCTCAGGTGTTGAAGAGATTTCAAAAATTTCATAATGTAACAATTATTTGAGAATCACTTTCAAAACTAAAGGGAAAAAATGAAAATCAGAGAGAAAAATGACATCTTTTAAAAAACAAAATATCTGAAAGTTATATTGGAGTTAAAAACTGCTATAGTGATCCTCTTCATTACTCTTTCTTGAGTTTTTAGTACTCCTTTGAGGTCAAAAGGTGAAGAAATGGGTGGCTAGTATCTGACTGTTCATTTACTTCAACTTTTCATGATATGATTTACTTAACTCATTCACGTAATGATAAGATTTAGGAACTACTAAAGTTGTCATCTTCTAGCTATTAGTTTTCAAAGTCAGTGTTCAGAGCGTTTATATGTGTAAAGTCAGTTTAACCCCAGCTAATTTCCTTATGATCCTGAACTACCTGCTTCCTGGTTTTTCATTTTATGTGACCTTTTTCAGTACTATACTGCTGCTCTTGTCTCTGACCCTGCTAGTAAGTGCAGTCCTTTGAGACCATCTCAGCAAACTGAGTTCCCTTCCAGTACTTCACCAGAATGATTGCTTCTTCAAAAACACCTGTGATTCTCTCTTGAAATCAGCTAAAGACAGTTTAAATGGGTTCAGTGAAATCATCTTGATGTGGAAAGACTGGAGTCTGGACTGCAGAGTCCTTATAGGGTAGTAATAATGCCTTCTGCTGCTTCTTATGGTGGTCTCTTCCTAAAACTTTCTCTTAAGCTAGGTAGCAGGCAGCCTTCCTTATTTCCAGATGAGCAAAAGGATTAATCACATTGCCATAGTAGATCATAAATGTAGAGTCAAAAAAGTGTAATGGAAAGAATATGAGATTTTAAATCAGAGTACCTGGATTTTAGATCTAAGAAGATATCCTTCTTATTAAAGATTATGTGATATTGGGTAAGTCATGGAGCCTCTGGGCCTTAGCTTCCTTATATGCAAAGTAAAGGAGATCTTTAAGTCCATTCTAGTTCTAAATCCTGTGATAAACTATGAGAAGCATTGGTGAACATTCCCAGAGGTAGTATATGGTTCAGAGCTACATCTGGTTTACAGATGGAAATTGGTTATCTGTCATTCTCACCCAGTGTCATATATCTCTTTGGTGCCCTCCCTTTTTCCACTTTTCCTTTATAATTCTTTGTTGAATATATATTCATATCTACCATGTTTCCACTCACTGTCCCTTTGGGTGACCCTCAACTTCTGATTTTTAGAGACTTGTATTCCAGGACTTACAGCCATGCCAGGAGAATATTACTGTTTAAATATTGCCAGGAGAATATCACTGTTTAAAAAGTGGACCTTTGTCTTTAGGAAAAGTTTGGGGTTATTAGAAAGGCACTACATACTTTCTCAAAAGCAACACAATTTGTTTTCCTTCTGTTTAATTTGGGACTCAGTTCATCGTCTATCTGTAGTGGCTGTTAAACTGTACACTGTGGCCATAGACTATGTTGGATAGATTAGTTGCACCTGCTATGTGCCAGATATTATGCTAAGCCCTTTACAAATATTATCTCATTCGATCCTCACAACAACCCTAAGGAGTGGGTGCTATTATTATCCCCATTTTACAGTTTAGGAAACTGAAACAAACAGGTTAATGACTTGCCCAGTCACATAGGCTAGATTTGAGCTCAAGTCTTCCTGACTCTAGGCTTAGTGCTTTTTCTACTATGCCATCCATTTCCCTATGTATATAGGGTGGATAACTGTCTATTGGATAGGCAGTTGTCCTCCCAGCTGTGTATCAGAGTCTAAGTATTAGATATTTGTAATAATACATAATTAGGTAGAACTCTTTTGAATGACTAGAGGTCTCCTTTAGGAGGCTCTGCAGTATTTCAGGGCTTGATGCAATCAGTGCAATATCTTCCTCAGACAGGACCATCTGGAGCCCTTATCCACAGGGAAATCCCTCATCCTTTTGAATTCTGTGCTAGACATCGTCCACAGTGATGGCGAATGTCCTCGTAAGAGCCTTCTTCTTTGAGACATTCCTTTATACTTGAAGATAACAGTCATAACTTGCACGAGCATTTACCCTTTTTCATTTTTTACTCCTGTGCTATGTTTTCCAAAATATTTTTTGCCATCCTCCCCAAACCCTATCTTTATATTGAAGTCACTGAATATCTATCAGTCATTCAGTAAGCATATATTAAGTGTCTGCTATGTGACAAGCACTTTGCTAGGCTCTGGGGTTAGTTACAACAGAAAGAAAAATAAAACATTCATAACTTTGAAAGAGTTTACATTCTATAGGAGGTGTCAACATGTAAGTATGTAAAATATATATAAAATAAATTGTTAGGGGGGATACCATCAGCTGTGGGGATCAGGAAAGGCCTCATGTAGGATTAGGTGTTTGAGCTGAGCTCTGAAGGTAACTAGGGATCCCAAGAGGTAGAGTGTGAAATTATGGTTTGAATTTGGAAGATCTTCTTGAGTTCTTCACAGAATGTCTCAGCCTTCCTATTTTCTGCAACATATCTGTATAGAAGTTGCAGTTTTCTTCATGGCAATCTTTATTGGCCTTGTAATTTTTCATCATCATCATCATCATCATCATCATCATTTATGTTCATCATCAGCATTGCAATGTGATATGATTAAGGGTCCCATGAAATAGTATTTCTCATTGCCTTTGGACACATGATAAAACCGACTATGCTTTAGCAAAGACACATATGTCTTTATTTGCCTTTCCAAGAAGACCTACGCACTATCCTTCCATTTAGGTGCAATTTTCTTATTTTTCTGTCTGGTTTCATTTGTGGTAAAAAATGTGCATTTGTTAAATATTTACTATGTGCCAGGCACTATTCTAGGTGCTGAGAATAAAAAATAAAAGTAGAAAAAAAGACAGTTTTTGCCCTCAAGGAGTTTACGTTGTAATGGGATAAGAGACAGCAAATAAAAGGAAGCTGAAAAGATGGGGGTGGGGTGGGGTGGCAAATGAAGAGACAGAAATACCCAGAAGGAGACTTGTCTGATCCAGATCCTTAAGTGGGAGGAGCCATCCATTCTGAGGGAACAGGGTACTTCCAGGGTATGAATTCCAGGGTTGAATAAGCTTCTGGATTAGGAGGTTAGGAGTGCAGCCTGGAGAGAAATGAGATTTCTGCTTTTACCTAAATTACTGATAAAAATTTAAACTAGAACCAAACAGATTCTTATAGTATTCTATTGGTGACCTCCTGCTAGGGAACCGTTAGCCACTACTCTTTGACTACCAGCCATTCAACCAGTTTAGAATCCATCTAATTTTCTTACTGCCCTCATTTTTCTATCTTTACTACCTGAATAGTTTCAGGTTCTTTTTTAAATGCTTCATTAACATAATTTCTACAGCATTCTCCTGATCTAACAGTTTAGTAATCCTGTCCTTAAAAAAAATAAAGGATAGTCTGGCATGACCATCTGAGAGATGACTTCCCTTCTTCCCCCCTCTCCCTGCCCCAATCTTCTTCACCTCCTCCAAGTTAAACGACTTGCCCAAAGTCACACGGTTAGTAAGTGTTTGAGGTTAGATTTGCACTCAGGTCCTCCTGACTCCAGGGCCAGTGATCTATGCATTGTGCCACCTAGTTCCTTCTGTGCCTGCCCACCCCCCATCTTCTTGAAGACCGAATACCTGTGCCTGAGTTTCTGTGACTAGTTCTTAACCACCTGCTGCCACACCATCTACCTAGATGACCTCTTACAGTTGTCTGATACCAGATGCTATATTCCATCTATCTACTGAGATATATACTTGTAGAATATCCTGATGAGGGATGCCTATCTTATGAACTTCTTATTTTCTACTGGGATTTTGTCCCAGTTTCATTCCTTGCCTTCAGTCCTCCAGAGATGCTACTGAATGAAGGTAAAGAAAATCATGTAACCATTCAGACCTGGTCCCTGACAAATTTATGTGACATAATTTCAACTGGGCCTTCACTGTTACTATGCAATCTTATTC